TGAATCATCGAGGAAAAATGGTTTGATTTGTTTCTTTTGTTGCAAATCATGCTAGTTCATCGATGGCAATCTGAATAAAAGTGCTGTACCAGTTTGAAAAAAGAAAATCTTCAAAAACGTAATCGACAACAATACATTAGTGAAATGGCATAATTAGGTGAATTCCACTCTTGAATGAACGAATAAGTGATGTAAAATATTGTCGAACTCATGGACTTGTGAGAGAAAGCGAAATATGTGCATAGATTTGATGTATTGTGTCCCGATGGTTGTGACCATAAGGTGCTTATATTAAACACATATTAAAGAGCTAAGGCTGCCTGAAATAAATCTATAGTTACATTAAAGAAGAAAACACAAAAGTCCTGCCTGCCAACGTAAAACTGAGGAATCGATAAGGTAATCGCGCACATTGTTCTAGCTGAGGCGGGAAACGGACTTGTAAATATTCCGAAATATGAGTTCCTCAGACATCGATCAATCTCAGAGAGAATTTTTTGCTCCGCCAGATGATGTTGATGAAGATGGTGACATTACATCGGAGTTGTGGCAAGAAGCGTGTTGGACCGTTATATCATCTTATTTTGATGAAAAGGGACTTGTTCGACAACAGCTCGATTCATTTGATGAATTTATTCAAATGTCCGTTCAACGGATTGTTGAAGATTCTCGAGCAATCGAATTGCAAGCACAAGCTCAGTACTTGAGCACTAGTAAAGAGACACCGCCAAAATACAACATTAAATTTGAACAAATTTATTTATCAAAGCCAACTCATACAACAAATGAAGGAAGCGTTTATTTGTGGCCAAATGAAGCTCGTTTACGTAATTTGACTTATGCTGCACCATTATACGTTGATTTGAAAAAAACCATCACGAAAGAAAATGAAATACCAAAAGAATCAAAAAACGATAAAGTTTATATTGGTGATATTCCGATTATGTTACGTTCAGCCTATTGCCTACTGTCAGATATGTCCGATCGAGACCTAACTGAATTAAATGAATGTCCGTTAGATCCTGGCGGCTATTTTATTATTAACGGGTCGGAAAAAGTACTTATTGCCCAAGAAAAAATGGCAACAAATACCGTTTATGTATTTTCAATGAAAGATAACAAGTTTGCTTACAAATGTGAAGTTCGATCAGTATTAGAAAATTCTAGTCGTCCAACGAGTACATTATGGGTTAACTTGATGGCTAAAGGTGGACAGGGTGGTCGAAAAAGTGCTATTGGTCAACCAATTGTTGGCATATTACCATATATTAATCGTGAAATTCCTATTATGATCGTATTTAGAGCACTTGGACACGTATCAGATCGAGACGTTCTAGAACACATTATTTATGATTTTGATGATATGGAAATGATGGAAAAAGTAAAACCTTCGTTGGATGAAGCATTTGTAATTCAAGATGATAAATTAGCATTAGACTTTATTGGCGCTCGTGGCAGTCATGCCGGTGTACCACGTGAAAAACGTATTCGCTATGCAAAAGATATACTTCAAAAAGAAATGTTGCCACACATCGGCATTACACAACATTGTGAGACGAAAAAAGTCTTTTTTCTTGGCTATATGGTACATCGTTTATTGTCAGCTGCTCTTGGCAGACGTGAACTCGATGATCGAGATCATTTAGGAAATAAACGATTGGATCTAGCTGGTCCATTACTATCATTTTTATTTCGAGGATTGTTCAAACGACTTATTAAAGTGATATCATCATATGGACAAAAGGCTATCAATCATGGTCGAGATTTTGGTCAGTGGGTCGTTCGACCGGACATCATTACACAAGGTTTACGCTATTCATTAGCTACTGGAAATTGGGGTGATCAGAAGAAAGCGCATCAAGCTCGTGCTGGAGTATCACAAGTATTAAATCGTTTGACATATGCGTCAACATTGTCACATTTGAGACGAGTGAATTCACCAATTGGCCGAGATGGAAAATTAGCTAAACCTAGACAGTTACACAATACTCTATGGGGAATGCTTTGTCCAGCTGAAACACCCGAAGGACATGCTGTTGGTTTAGTGAAAAATTTGGCATTAATGGCCTATATCTCCGTCGGATCACAACCACAACCTATTCTTGAATTTTTAGAAGAATGGTCTATGGAAAATCTTGAAGAAATTACACCGTCTAATATTCGTAATGCAGCAAAAATTTTTGTTAATGGATGTTGGGTTGGTATTCATCGTGATCCGGATCAATTAATGAATACTCTGCGACGTCTCCGTCGTCAATGTGATATTATTGTTAGTGAAGTATCGATGATTCGTGAAATACGTGAACGAGAAATTCGAATTTATTCTGATGCGGGACGAATATGTCGACCGTTAATGATTGTTGAAAAACAAAAATTATTGTTGAGACAAAGACATGTTGATGCATTGAGAGAAAGCGAATATACAAGATTTGGATGGCAAAATTTAGTTGCCGAAGGTGTTGTTGAATACATTGATTGTTTGGAAGAAGAAACGAGTATGATTGCAATGACACCCGAAGATCTATTAACAAAGGATAATCCATATTGTTCAACTCACACACACTGTGAAATTCATCCATCAATGATATTAGGTGTTTGTGCCAGTATTGTTCCATTTCCTGATCATAATCAATCACCTCGTAATACATATCAAAGTGCTATGGGTAAGCAAGCAATGGGTGTTTATATAACAAATTTTCATGTTCGAATGGATACATTGTCTCATGTTTTATTTTATCCACAAAATCCGCTCTCATCCACTAGAGCCATGCAATATTTGAGATTTCGAGAATTACCAGCAGGAATAAATGCTATCGTTGCCATTGCGTCTTATACTGGTTATAATCAAGAAGATTCAATTATATTGAATTGGAGTTCAGTTGATAGAGGATTTTTTAGATCGGTATTTTGGCGTTCATATCGTGAATCTGAAGCACAACGGGGCGCTGATCATACAGAAACAATTGAAAAGCCCGAACGAACGTCTTGTGTAGGAATGAGACATGCGATTTATGACAAATTGGATGATGATGGAATTATAGCGCCAGGCATTCGAGTATCCGGAGATGATGTACTTATTGGAAAAACTGTTACATTACCTGATACCGAAGATGAGCTCAATAGTAAAAATAAACGTTTTATTAAAAAAGATGCCAGTGTATTTATGCGTCAGAGTGAAACGGGAATTGTTGATCAGGTATTATTATCGATTAATGACGAAGGTTATAAATTTGTTAAAGTACGAATTCGTAATGTTAAAATTCCACAAATTGGCGATAAATTTGCTAGTCGACATGGTCAAAAAGGAACATGTGGAATATTATATAGAATGGAAGACATGCCATTTACTAGTGAAGGTATCACTCCCGATCTAATCATTAATCCACACGCTATTCCATCTCGTATGACTGTTGGTCATTTAATTGAATGTCTTCAAAGTAAAGTTGCAGCAAATAAAGGTGAAATGGGCGATGCTACACCGTTCAATGATAATGTTAAGGTTACACGTATGTCAGATATGTTACAAGAATATGGTTATCATTTGCGAGGAAACGAGGTGATGTATAACGGATTTACTGGTAGAAAAATGAATTGTCAAATATTTTTGGGACCAACATATTATCAACGATTAAAACATATGGTTGATGATAAAATACATTCGAGAGCAAGAGGACCAGTACAAATTTTGAATCGACAACCGATGGAAGGTAGATCAAGAGATGGTGGTTTACGTTTTGGTGAGATGGAACGTGATTGTCAAATATCACATGGTGCCGCCCAATTTCTTAAAGAACGTTTATTTGAAGTATCTGATCCTTATCGTGTACATGTTTGTAATATTTGTGGACTCGTTGCCGTAGCAAATTTAGCAGAAAAAACGTATTCGTGTAAAGCGTGTTCAAATACAACACAAATCTCACAAGTGCGTTTACCCTATGCGTGTAAATTACTATTTCAAGAGCTTATATCAATGGGTATCGCTCCAAGAATGTTAGTCGATTAATGGGCTTTACTTTTTTTTCCGGGC